AATGATCAGCAAGGAAAGGATTTGAAGGGTCAAAGAGATGGTGCATCTGGGAGAAATTGTCCCCATAATTTTCTCATAAGGAAGAATTATCTGCCTGCTTTGTCATTGAAAGAGCTTTCCTTGCTAAAATGCCTATAATCTTCAGAACTTTTTTTTAATTGAGTCAGCAGCAGTGCTGGGGCTGTTCCTGGCTGGGGATTGTTCCTAGAGATGAAGCGACTGTGTGCACAGGCTGCACGCATCTCCTGGGGGTGTGAGGGAGATGTCCGTTCTTTCCTTCTCACTCTCTTTTGGGAGGCTATGCTCAGAGGCTAGTACTGGCTAATGTTCAGGGGCCCTAGAGGATGCTGGGGATCTGACCAGGGTTGGCCACATGCATGACAAGTGCCTTACCCCTCTATACTTTTCAACTACCAGCCGATTCTTCTTTAATGGTTTCTGCCCTTTGAAAAGAGTTTCCTCCTTCAATTGAAGTAGGGGACCGGAATGATAGCACAGTGGGTAAGACATTTCCTTTGCATGCAACCATCCTTGAGTTTGATCCCCAGTACCACATATGTTTCTCTGAGCCTGTCCAGGAATAAACCCTGAGCACTGCCAGGTATGGCCCCCAAACAAAACAAACAAGAAACCCCACCAAAAACCCCATATTGAAGTAGTTACTACTTTCTCATTTAGTGCCCTGATTTGTCTCGACAATGCCAAAGAAAACTGGCTTTAGTAGAAATGTTAGTTTCTGCACTAATCTTAGGATTCCAACATTAAGGCCTTTATCTAGAATGTATATCTAGGTTCTGAAGAGAATGAGGAGTGTGTTCCATTATTCCTGGCTGGAGCGATAGCACAGCAGGTAGGGCTTTTGCCTTGCACACGGCCGACCTGGGCTCGAGTCCCATTCCTCTCTGAGAGCCCGGCAAGCTACTGAGAATATCCTGCCCACACGGTATAGCCTGGCAAGCTCCCCATGACGTATTCAATATGCTCAAACAGTAACAACAAGTCTCACAATGGAGACGTTACTGGTGCCCGCTCAAGCAAATCAATGAACAACAGGAGGACAATGCTATTGAATCACCTAATCATTGTCGACACCTAACGTTAAGCTATAGACCTTGTGCTTCATCACCGGAGCTAGCCCTCCAATGCCTGTTTATAAGCTTTTTTGCATGTTTTGCAAAACCCAGAACAAATTTCCAGACCTTGGCTCTAATTTATTAGAAGACCTCAGTGGAACTGACTGACCCAGGTTTGATTCCTCTGTCCATCTTGGAGAGCCTGGCAACTACTGAGAGTATCTCACCCACATGGCCGAGCCTCGCAAGCTACCCGTGACATATTCGATATGTCAAAAACAGTAACAAGTCTCACAATGAAGACGTTAGTGGTGCCCGCTCAAGTAAATCGATGAACAGTGGGACGACAGTGCTACAGTGCTATAGTGCTATTGAATCACCATGAGCCATAGTTACAAACTTTCATGTCTGAGTTTCAGTCATGATCGAACACCCACCCCTCCACCAGAGGACATTTTCTACCACCAATGTCCCCAGAATCCCTTTCCCACTACTGTCCTACCCCTCTCCCTGCCTCTATGGCAGACAATTTCCCTCTTACTCTCTCACTACTTATGGACGTTATGGTTTGCAATACAGATACTGAGAGGCCATCATGTTTGGTCCTTTATCTACTTTGCGCACACATCTTCCATTCTGAATGATCCCTCCAACCATCATTGACTTAGTGATCCCTTCTCCATCCCAGCTGCCTTCTCCCCGAGCTCATAAGGCAAGCTTCCAACTGTGGGGCAATCTTCATGGCCCTTGTCTCTACTGTTCTTGGGTGTTAGACTAAAATTTAAAAAAAATAAGTTGAACAATTCATACAGACTTTTAACATTTGTATAAGAACAATATATGGCATTTTCAAATAAGAAAATTTATGTGCTATTATATTTTACCAACCAAGTGAATAATCATATTTGATTTTGTCATTGCTATCCACACATGGCTCAATAACATTAGTGTAAAACAAGGCACAGACACCTATATTTTAACTTACATTTAATAAATTATAATTTGTCCAAATACATGTGTTAAACCAACCTAAAATCACTGAAACTTGACCAACACATACATTTTTAACCAGGAACAATTGGCATGTTTCAATAGTAGTCAAATGAGTTTAATATTATTCATTATTTCTCCCAAAATTTTATATTCCATATTCCCACGTTGCTATTATTACATATTTGGGGGAATATATTTTTAGTAACAAACTTCTGGCAGTAGCACTGCCCTGTCACACTGTCCTCCCGTTGTTGATAGATTAGCTCGAGCAGGCCCAGTAACGTCTCCATTGTGAGACTTCTTGTTACTGTGCTTGGCATATCGAATACGCCACGGGTAGCTTGCCAGGCTTTGCCATGTGGGCGAGATACTCTCGGTAGTTTGCCGGGCTCTCCAAGATGGGCAGAGAAATCGAACCCGAGTCAGCCAAGCTGGCCACGTGTAAGACAAATACCCTACCGCTGTGCTATTGCTCCACCCCAACTTCTGGCTACTTTCAAAAATTTTTACCCCCGGTTCTTTTTCAACTTTTCCAGTCTTGAATTTTTCAGTTAAATCTACATGAAGTATTTAGACTACTTTTTTTCTCGGTATGAGATCAAGGTTAGAGAATTCATGAAAACCACTTTAGTTTGACCCACTGAGCAATTTATAGTGTGGATACATTGAACGTATTTTTTTTCCAGTTTTAAAAGAATAGTTTTAAAATTTTGGTTTTTTGTTTGTTTTGGGGACTACACCAGTGGTGCTACGGGGCTACTCCTGGTTCTATAGTCAGGAATTACTCCTGGTGGTACACAGGGGACCATACAGGATGCCAAGGATCCAACCTAGTCGAGCAGGTGCAAACAAGTGCCTACCCACTGTACTATTATTTTCAGTAACAAACTTCTGGCATTAGCACTGCACTGTCACACTGTCCTCCCGTTGTTCATAGATTTGCTCCTAAAATGTAAGTTTTAGTATCCCAAAGACCAATACAATGTAAGGGGAAGAAAATTATTATTATTATTGTTATTATTATTATTATTTTTATTATTTTTTTTTACTGGGGAATGAGATCCATTTTTTACTGGATCTTACGAAGACAATGTTTATGAGAAACAGCCTCGTTCCTGATGCTCCATTCGCTCTCAACGGAACCACCATCTCCGAATGCAACAGTTATATATACCTAGGTCGAGAAATCAACATGATGAATGACCTGGTACCTGAGTTATTCAGGAGGAAGAGAGCGGCTTGGAATGTCTTCAAGAACGTTGAAGAAATAACTAAGAGGACAAAGAACCTCCAGCTACGAGCACATCTCTTCGATTCCACTGTTCTTCCTGCATTAACATATGCCTCAGAGACCTGGGCCCCACGAAAACAGGATGAGAACGCTATTCGGGTCTCTCAAAGAGCAATCGAAAGAGCTATGCTTGGAATATCATGCTTCACTCAAATGAGAGATAGAATCCAGAGTTCTGATTTGCGTCAATGCTCAAGAATCAGGGACGCTGTCTCATTTGCCAAGGCATCAAAAATCAGATGGGCTGGACATGTAATGAGGTTTATAGACAACCGCTGGACTAGAGCCATTACTGACTGGATTCCATGGGACGTCAAAAGATCACGTGGACACCCACCTACAAGATGGTCAGACTTCTTGTCAAGACCCTGAATGATCGGTTTGAGGCTCTGCATATTCCTAGAACAAACAGATGCCATTGGGCTACGCTACACGCAACAGGGATGAATGGAGACGTTACTGGCACCCGCTCGAGTAAATTGATGAATAACGGGGGATCAAGTGATCAGGTGATCAAGTGATTATTATTATTTGCTTTTTGGGTCACACCCGACGATGCACAGGAGTTACTCCTGGCTCTGCACTCAGGATTCACTCCTGGTGGTGCTCGGGGGACCATATGGGAAGCTGGGAATCGAACCTGGGTCAGCGTGTGCAAGGCAAACACCCTACCTGCTGTACTATCGCTCCAGTCCAGGGGAAGAAAATGATTTTAGTTAAGAAAAAGTCATTTATCTTCTTCCTCAATTTAAAAATATAAGGTACAACAGCTGTAGCACTCCACACATTTCTTGAATAATAGAATAAGGTGTAATTATACATTGGAGCTGGAGGATTAGCATAATGGGTACCCTTGTATGTGACCAAACCCAGATCAATTCCCGATACCCCATATGGTCCCCTGATTCACGCTAAAATTAATCCTGAGTATAGAGCCAGGAGAAAGCCGAAATAAAACAAAACATATGTAATTATACCTGGATAAGCTTACACACAAGTAAATTTATATGTTTGTGTGTTTACAAAAATTTTTGTTCATTTTTTTTTTTTTAAGTCACACCTGGTGGTGGTTAGGGCTTCCTTCTGGATGTTCACTACAAACTCACTTGTTGGGCTTGGGGACCATATGGGGAAATTCCACCACCATAATTCAAATGTTTCCATCCCAAACCACAAGCACTGCCCCCAAGCAGTACCGAAATAATTTATTTTGTATTACTTGCTATGAATGATCTGTGAAAAATTATGCAAAAAAGGTTCCTTAGAGGAAAGTGTGTGAAGATTGTTGTATTTCTTTTTTTCTTTTTCTTTTTTCTTTTTAAGAATCAACTCTTTTATTTTAAAGAGCAATGATTTAAATTGAATACAACTGGGTAGGGTAAATAGTTAACATGAAAAGTAGTCGTATCAGAAAAAATAGCAACTCATCTTACACATAGTAACTACAACATTTTTTTTTCTCTGATCATTTAAGTGTTACAAATCCTGAGAATGTTATACAGGAAACAAAGTAGGTGATACTTTGAATTAATTCTCGTTTGGAAACAATCTTAAAAAATGCTTTGTGGTACAAACCACCTAGGTATTACACATGAGTCTTTTACATTTTACAAACAGCAGTTCTGTGGCTCCTAAAATATTCCTTAGTCGGGCTCGAGGACACATTGTTCCACGATTTCCCTGAAGTTCGGGTTCTCCATCGCAGCTGCCACTCGTTCTTTGTCATTTATCTGCTTGTTGATGTCTTCCTCTGTGAGTGGGTGCCTTCGGAAATGTAGATTTCCAACTTATGTTTAAATGGTAAACAACGCTGACGTTTTCCTCTTAAGCACAGTCCAATAAGAGTCGCCAAAGAGCAATGAGGTACTGTTGGAGTGAACCTTATAATAACCAGATAATCTTCTTCACTGGGCTGGAGCGATAGCACAGCGGGTAGGGCATTCGCCTTACAAGCGGTCAACATGGCCGACCCGAGTTCGATTCCTCCGCCCCTCTCGGAGAGCCCGGCAAGCTACCGAGAGTATTCGATATGCCAGACACAGTAACAACAAAGTCTCCAATGGAGACGTTACTGGGCCCGCTCGAGCAAATCGACGATCAACGGGAGGGCCTTCTTCACTGAGCTCCTGAAGCTCCACGCAGCTTTCCGTCACCACTTCCAGTTCTTCTAAAGTATTAGGCTTCTCTGGGTCTCGGACAGCACGGATCAAATCGTAAACCTCGAGCGCTTTCTCTTGCATGGTCCGGGGCTGCCAGGACGAGCTCCGCTCAGAGAGGCCCGAGAGCCGCAGGACTCGGCTCAGCGTCCAGGAGAGCAGCCCGGACACCAGCTCCATCCTCCCGCTCCCCCATCCCTGGCGACCCGAGCCACCATCCGGGCGCGGTGGCCACGCCACCCTGTCCACGTCCTGTTCGGACAAGATTGTTGTATCTCACTCAGGAGCCGTTATGCCTTTCTGTAAGAGATTACTAACATGTTGTTAAAGATTGAGCCTTATGTGCTTAACTAAGTTTGTGTGTATGTATTTCTATACATACACACAGACATTTCCCCCTAAGTTGAGTTGCCTTCTACTTTAAACCCCATCAAATGTGGTGTGCTATACTTGCTATATCAGTGATATAAAATATGGGAGATTGCAGCCATGTGCTCCAAGAATACTAGGATTTAAAACGTAGTTACACTGCAGTATCACTTAATGGTGAATCTTGTCCAAACCTGTAGGGAGCAGCTATGAGCATGGCAGAAATTGAGTTCTAGAAGTTTTTGGCTGCTGGAGTTCTGCTAGGGTGGGTCAGGGAACTCACCCATCCCCCCTTGATGAAACAACCCGGTGGGGGTTCAGGGGCATCTCTATAGCATATCTGTTTATTTACTTGTCCCCAAATCTGCAACAGTTCAGGAATTTTAAAAACATATGCAGAATGTCTTTGTTCTGAAACCTTGGACCTTTGGGTTCGATGCCAAATGATAATAGCTGCAAAAGTTTTGTTAAACTTCACATCAAAGAAGACTCCCAGAAATTTGAATTTATTCTAGAATTTTATTGCAGGTGGCCAATCAGGGGCTATTCCTACCTCTGGAGACAGGAGAGAACCCTGGCAGTGCTCAGGACACAAATATTAGGTGGCGGTAGGGGAGGGGGTGGAGGGGGGGTGTTGGAATCAGGGTTCTGGAACTCCCACCATGCACTTGTCTCCACTTAGGTCTGCTCTAGATCACTACACAGACAGCCTGCAGCAGGGACACGTGAAGGATGTCATCAGCCATTTCCCGATGCAGTCCAGGTGGAAGACATGTTTGCAGGGCAGAGCCCGAATGCGGTCTCCATCCACGAAGTCCAGCAAGCAAATGGCACAGTCCTTGGTCTTTCCCGCTGCAGCTTCTCCAGACACGTATTCGCTAACAGGAAAACAGTGCGGGCACCTGAATCGTTGGGCTATATCGAATTCTGTCATACTCTGGGGGGCTGCTGGCAGGTCTCTCAGGAGATTCTCGTCCAGGCTTGGGATCGTCTCCGATGAAAGCTCACTGGACGGAGACTCACTCTCAGAGATGTCAGCGGAGGTGGAGGTATTGAGGCAGTTCCCCATCCTTGGCACCAGAATTCAGATCTGCTCAGTCTTCTGAAAATCTTGAGAATCAGACACTCCACCTTCCAGAAAAAGGTGATAGTTAGTAAAATGGATTCTATAACATTCTATAAGGCAGATTTCATCTCTAGATTGGTTACAATCCCCCTCTCCCAATAGCACTGCTGGTTTGGGATAATTTACCTGTTTTTGAAATGCCCTGAGCAGAGACTCAGAGCTCTAGGAACCGAACACAACAGCATGGCCTGAGAGGAGTCACCTAGTGTGTCAATGTTGGTGTGTTCTTCCCAAGCACAAATTTTCTAATTTGATTGTCTTGGGGAGGACATACCACATCTATGTTTTGGCCACAAGACAGGACTGCAGGGCTCCCCCTTGTGAGTCTTTGGGGTGGGGCGGGGCATGTAGTGGCAGGACTTGGGCCTGGAGCTCTGTCTGCAGAGCACGAGCTGCAGCCTGTGAACTGTCCCCCCAGCTCTGGGTTCCAGATTCGAGCTCTCATGACAGCTTCACAGGGCCTTGCACCAGACTGGTAAATTCTATGGGATTTTTCTAGGAAGATCCTTACTATACCCCTTGGAACTTAAGGCCTCGACAAGGCACACAAGTCACCCTTCATTCACATGCAAGCTGAAAAGAAAAAATTGGAGGCAGAACCAGGAGATTTGAGGCAGTGATCTGTTCTGGCAACTGGGTGAAGATAAGCGAGTTGGAAATCACAGCATTCCCACCAGAACAGAGCAGAACCGGGACAATCAGAACAGGACTGGGTCACAGACTTAATTAGTAAAGTTCAATATCCAACCCGGAAACTCATGTTATTAATCACTGATTCTACCAGATTGTACTAACTACTTAATTGTCAACAATTATGCTAGATATCTTTTTGTATGTGTGAGGTTAAAAAATGTTACTGTGGATCCTGTATCTAACAGATAGAAATTCTTTGTGAACTGATTTTGTGGCTCAGCCCATTTCAGCATTAGCTAAAATATGCCAATAAAATTATGTAAATAAAACTGGATCTCCCTATAATGTCTCAAGAGTTTGCCTTGCTTCTTGGTCCGATTTCTGTAACACAATCGCCCACCCACCCCATAGCATGCCTTTGCCTGCAATATCCACTTGCCTTTCCTCTCATGAACTGAACTTTTCACAGCTATCTTTACTGAGTTCCAACCTATGTTAGTCTTTTCTTCCCAAGTTCTAATAACAGTTCCATTTGTCCTTTTAAACAACTAAAGGAATCATATTTGGCAGCAATACCTGCTATCTAGATATTTACTATAGGACCACACTGGTCTTATGGCAGGAAATCATGGCCTCAATTTTATACAGTTACGTACGATTCCTCTCATGTTACCAATGGATTAAAATTCATAAAATTCGCATATTCATAACAATATAACATCCTCCCATGGTTTACCATGAAATACCCAAATCAGATTCGTAACATAATCATAACATAAATACCAAGTACCCAAAGAAAATTGTCTCAGTACTTACCGTGCAATGGAAACACAAGAAGGCTGCCTCTGGATGCTACTGTACCCACAGAGGTAACAGAGAAGAGTTTCTTGGCTCTGCACTAGAGAGAGCACAGTGTGGGGAATCCTTTATATAGGGGCCAATGCTGAGTGAGCACCACCCATCTTGTCACTCATAGGGCACAACAAGACCCACCCTTGTAATTTGACACCAGTCATGATAAATCTCATTAAGCTGACTCTTGAACAAAATCGACATGGGGAGTTTGCCAGACTCTGCCATGTGGGCAGGTTACATTCGGTAGCCTGCCAGGTTGTCCAAAGTAAGAATGAGATAATAAGATGTCGCGTGGCCATGAATGCGGCCTTGCCTTTCGGAGAGCTCGGTTATATAGACTCTGGGTCTTGGCCGTTGATGGGATTACACGGCGCCAGGGGGCAGTTGGTGGGTGTGACCCCTGCCTACTGGAAGATGGAGGATCTGGGTGGAGGATGCTCAGGCCCGATCCGAGCAAGCTTGGAGATCTCAGCCCCGGGACCCACATGCCCCCCGCCCACGGCTTAAAATTTTTACAGTTAAGTACAATTTCTCTCACAGTAACCAATGAGTTAAAAATCAGGGAATTCACATATTCATAACAACATAACCTTACCCCCCCATGAAATACCCAAACAAGATTTATAACACAACCGTAACATAATTGCCAAATACCTAAAGAAAATCATTTCAGTACTTACCACACAATGGAAGCACAAGAAGGCTGCCTCTGGATGCTGCTGTACCCAGATGGTAACAGAGTAGAGATTCTTGGCTCTGATTAAAGAGACTCCAGTGTGGGAATTCTTTATATAGGGGCAATGCTGAGTGAGCACCACCCGTCTTGTCACTCATAGGGCACAACAAGACCCACCCTTGTAATTTGACACCAGTCATGATAAATCTCTTTAAACTGACTCTTGAACAAAATCATTCTTGAAATCAGAGAAATCTTGGAAAAGCAATGGAAGAAAATGGGTATTTTTGAAATCTGAACTTGTCTAAGTCACAAAAGCAAAGTTGTCATCTTCCCCCAATAAGTTTCTTTTTTAGTAGAATTTTGTTGTTCTGAGCAAAAAGAAAATCCATAGCACAACCTTAGGGCGTTTGCCTTGCAGGAGGCCGGTAGGGCAGACTCGCATTCGATTCCTCTGCTCCTCTCAGAGAGCCCGGGAAGCTACCAAGAGTTATCTCACCCGCACGCATGGCAAAGCCTGGCAAGCTCCCTGTGAGGTATTTGATATAATCACAGTAACAACAAGTCTCACAATGGAGACGTTACTGGGTCCGCTCAAGCAAATCAGTGAACAAAGGGAGAACAGTGCTACAGTGCTTCATTCCCTAGAGGAAATTTATAGTCCTAATATCTTTTCATGCTGGAGCATGACTGTGATATTACAATATACTGCAAAACTTACCTGCTTTCTAGGTACATTGTTGTTTCAAATGCATCTTCAAAAGGTTGGTAGCTCATTTGTCTTCCATGTGTGAGGGCCAAGGTTCAATCCCCTGCACTGAAAATACAAAACCGGAGAACAAACTTCAAAGTAAAACACTTTCCAGGATGCCAGATCATCTATATTTTACTGACAATGCAGGTCTTCAAGTTAGATGGAGTTGCTGTCCAGAGGATCCCATTAACCTAAAATCACATGTGTATGTTGCACATCACAAAATATATTCTACAGTTCTATTACTGGCTTTGGAATCAGCGGCAAGTCTGTGGGGTCACAGGCCATGTTCTGAGGGTCCGAGGGTCACTCTCTGCTTTTAGGCTCAGTGGGCCACATTGGGCTCTTTCCAGGGGCTTGTTCAAGTGGGAACGAGGGAGCCAACCTCTAGTAAAGAGAGCTGTCCCCTCTCTGCTCTACCCACCTGGGCCACCCACTTCCCTAGGAACTGTCTGGCTGGGTCAGGACTGGTGAGTCTATTGGAAGCACTTCAATGGCACAGACATTCATCCTGCTAGTGCTGGTAGTAGCCGTCAAGCTGTACCTGAAGTTCACTTGCTCTGCACGGCATGGTGGATGATCCCTATCACCTGGTTTCTCAGGGAGCCATGAACTCAGCTGAGCAAGGCCCTGCCCCTTGCAGGAAAGAAAATCAGTCTGAACCTTGGTTCAAGCATTTTGAATCCATCACCTTCCCGAGCAAAATAGAATTGCAGGAGGATGTGAAATGCTAAAGCAAGAATTTTTATAATGGTAAGTTTACTTTGAACCAGGAAATGGGAGAGCAAGAGAGGAAATTTATGTTTAAGAGAGAATGTGGCTGCTCCAGAGTGGACAGTGACAGTGACAGCCTTTTCTGAATAGATTTTTTGGGAGGTCCTCTTGGAGTAGGTGCTCAGAAATGAAAACTTGCTGGGTCTATGGGAGCTCAACTCCTTAGTTTTGGAGAAGCATCCGTACTATCTTCCCAAAAGCCGGGCCAGTCGCCATCCTAGCAGCAGTCTATGAGGGTCCCTTGCCTGACATCCACACTAACACTGAAATGCTTTGGTTCTTTGTGAGGTGTGTCAGTCTCACTGTGTGAGAGAAAATTTCACTGTTATTTCTATTTGCATTTCCCTGATGATTACTCATACAGATAATTTTTTCTTATACCTTCTGGCCATTTGAGTGTCTTCTCTGAGAAAGATTCTTAGAAAGGTTCTGTTCATCACTTCCTCCATTTTCTCAAAAGTTTTCTTTCTCCTTCCTTCCTTCCTTCCTCCCTCCCTCCCTCCCTCCCTCCCTCCCTCCCTCCCTCCCTTCCTCCCTCCCTTCCTTCCTTCCTTCCTTCCTTCCTTCCTTCCTTCCTTCCTTCCTTCCTTTCTCTGTTCACAATAGCCCAAATCTGGAAACTACCCAAGTGTTCAAGAACAGGTAAGTAGATCTTGGTCAAGAAACTATGGTAGTCAATCTCGTAATTATCTGGCTCTTTGCAGAAATCCAAAATCATGGCCGCATGACATTATATGATTCTCATAACCAGCTATAGAAAACAAAATATTTCACAATGCCTTTTCAGCAATTCTGATTGTTTGGGGGAAAATTCTAAACAATAATGGTGCATCTTTTGTTGAAATAATGAATATAATCAATGTAGAGAAGAGTTAAGTAGAAACCATCTGCCTCACAGGCATTTGGAGGGGTGGGGGGGTATACTGGGGTTCTTGGTGGTGAAAAATGAGTACTGGTGAAGGGAAAGGTGTTTGATCATTGAACGACTGAGACTTAAACCTGAAAGTTTTGTAACTTTTCCCACAGTGATTCAATAAATAAATATAAAAAGAAAAAAAATAAAAAATTAAGGTGGAGTTCATACCCAGTTCAATCAGCTAATCAGTGGCTGAATAAATAGTAGTACTCCTACAAAAAAAAACCTATGGGAGAGATACACAGTGGAATACTACTTGTCTACAAGAAAAGATGAGATCATGTAATTTGCGGCTACATGGATGGATCTGGAGAGTCTCAACCCAAGTGAAGTGA